CGCTGTCGGGACTTTTCTAGGATGGCTACCACCCTGCCAGTCGGTCTTTTCCCAGGATATGAACTAATCACTGCACAGATCCTCTGGATGGCCTTAGACACATCATCTTGATTACTAGAATAATGTGCTTCTGGAAGATCCACAACTAACGACTGATATACATCACGTTGCTCGTTCTTTAATAAAAGATCATCACAAGCAGTTCCATCCAAAATTTTGTCCTCACTACAACACCTCTTATCAGGTGAAGAGGAACTCCTAAAACTGTCAGACTTAACACTGGCATCAACTTTATTCTTGCCTTTACAATTACGGCCGTCATTTTCAGTCGCCTCAGCAGGTAAGTTGGCATCTTCCATTGAATGTGTACTGTTATGGGTCTCGCTAGTGCCTTTCATCCTAGTCCACGATGTAAGAGGGTCCACCATAATTGCAACTATGTCTCCTTCCACCTAGATGAGGACAGTGAATCTAAATCAACAAAAACTTCTACCCCTGAACAAAAAAATTTAGATCATGGAAATTTCCCCATTTTTACATTTTGATTGTTCTACTTGCAATTCAATAGAAGCCAAAATACAAGTTGCAATATTTTTACTTGAAGGGGAAATCACAGAATTGGGATGTTTCCGACAGAAGAAGATCAACACAGTCAAATAAAAAAGAGAGGTAGACAAAAAACAGAACTAATTGTCCCATTCCATTCGTGTGCACTATAAAGAAAAACTCAACACAAAATATAAATAAACCAGTTGATGTTACTAGGCCTCATAGTGTCATGTCCGTTCCTAAATGCAAGCACCTTTTAAATCACTTATCTCCAAAACAAAGATAAGAAATTTATACGTCTAGCCATCTAGGTAAAATATGGACCATAGATGAGATACCCATATATGTACAAATAGCATGATCAAATATTATAAGATTAGAAGCAAAAATCACAGCTCATTTGACTAAAAAATGAACCAAAATGTTTGAATCTTTCTAAAAACCCTACAATGAATTTTGAGTTTGTGCATGAGCAAGTGCATAAAAGCATGTGTTCATATGTGTGCTTGTGTGTGTGAGAAAGAGTACTTACAGCTCTGTTCTGAGATGCAATTCCATTGATTAAGACATCAACTGGTAGTCCGTCAATTTTGCAGTAGGCCTACAAGATTAACATATCATGTTCAAACAAAACTTAAAAGTGATGTGTGAAAAAACATAATCAGCTAATATTTAGAGAATGATATATCAAAGGGTTTTCCAAGAAAATATACTAAAGAGATTTGACACGGACCTCAAGTCTATTGTGGGCATTAACACGAAAGAAAGCTCTAAATATGTCACCTTTCTGCAAAAGTGGAAACAACAGCGAAATTGCTGCATTATATCAGAAAACTTTATATCATTTGAACAAAGCACTCTCCCACAGAATCATGCAAAATCAGAATGTCACACTGACCTGTAATCCTTCATCGACATCCTCCACGGACCAGTGTGAAGCAAAGTATTTCCTTTGCGAGTTATTTTCAGTTACATCAGCAGGAGAGGAGTGCTGATTTGTAGATATCCCAGGCATCCTTCCACAAACAATCTGTTCAGGACATGATTTTATAGTCTTTCCACCAGCATCCAATGGATGAAGATTTTCATTTATCAAATTTTGCGACTCAGATAATTCAGCTTGTTCGCTAATATGCAGAGGGGGCAAAGAACTAAACGCAATCTTATTTCTTCTGGTCACACCATGCTCTATCGGATGATTGGATTCATGAGCTTGTTGTGTCAAAGAAGAATGATTCGAGGGTGCTGTTAGGTTAGCATCTATTTTACCATTTTCCATGCACTCTGATGCTTCCCCCGACATTCCATTGACCGAACTACAAGACACTGCCGAAAGGGAAACCATATCTTGTAAGTAAAAGCATATTAAGTGTGCAAAGATGGTTTGGGGGAAACAAAAATAAAACACAAAAACAACTTCTTGGCAACAAAAAAAAGACTTCGAGAA